CGTCATGCTTTTTTGAATTGCAAACGCTTTCCTTCTGGCCTCGCATTGCGGGTGCGTAGCCGCGTGGTTACCCTTGCAGTTAGCACAGCTTAGCCCCGAGCATAGTGTGTTAATGCTGTGGTCCCGACCACATTTGAAACATCTCGGTAGGCTCTTGCAGTGCTGCGCCATATGACCAAACCTAAAGCACCTGAAGCATTGGCTAAACTGGACGAAAGGTTTTACTGCTACCTATACACCATGGTGTATAGGAACTTGATTTCCTTGGGCAGCTGCTCCCCCCTAAACCATAGTTTGACCCTGCCGGTGGGTACCCTATCCCCCGAGGTTCTGTCTGTTCTGGTAATCCGTTGTATTTCCTCTATGGGGACATCCGAGATGATCAGCTCCGAGAGCTGCTCCTCCGAGTGGTGGCCAGGGATCCCAAAGATTAGACCCGCCCTTTGCACAAAGTGCCGCAAAATCCGGGGAGAGTACCCGTGGGCGGCGAAGGCACTGTTTTCCACAAGTTTGTTTGCACCGTCGGCCGACCTACATACAGTCTTGCACCTGCCCATAGCCTACCCTCGCGACCTCCTCTATACCGCCAAGTCCCAGATTTATCAAAAGTTCGGATAGCTCGAACTGGTTAATTGCGATCCTGGAATTATTATCGCTTGGTTTATCTATATACACTACAAAAGGGCCTTTGTGGCCCTCGTAGTATTTGTTATTGACGTTTTTGTTGTTGTTGTTTTTGTTGTTGTTTTTGTTGTTGTTGTTGTTAGTTGTCGTTGTTGATCTTGTACTCACGGACGTCTGACAAACATATCACTTGTAATTGTTTTGGTAGTTTTGTTTTTCGTCTCTTTCTCTTTCAAGGTGGTTTTTGTCGTCGTAGCTGTTGTTTTTCCCGCCATTTTTACACCTGCCGAGAAAGCAGGTCTGGGGTCTCCTTCCCTCTTTTTTTCGCGTCTCCACTAGGATCCTTGATCCTGTGGCCTTCTCCGTGGCCATCCTGGTCCTTCCTATGCCAGCCTTGGTTTCGGATTACGCTGCACTAGCTTCCGTGTTACTGCCTTTGCTGGGCCGCCATTGCCGAGAGGCAAGGTTATCCGGTAAAAATACGGATCTACTGCCACTTTTGTCCCGCCGTCTTTATCAGGATGTGGGGTAACCACAGGTGATCGGGTTATTGCTTATTATAAGCGAGTTTAGGCTCTATTTTACGAAATAAGCTAATTTTCTACTTTCCGCGGTAAAAACGAGATATGCGCGTCACCAGTGTTGAACAACGAATTGAGAACATTTATTAATTTGTATTGTCGTGCCGACGATTGTTTTTACACTGCTTATTCTATGGAGATGGGCGAAAATCGACATACCACGCGATAGTTTATGAAATATAGATAGTTAACTGAAATGAAATATCTACCGCTTAAAAATATCGATAGCAGACCGACAATGGAGTGGGAACGACGGTTAAAATTTAAAATTTTGATTTTATATCATAATGAACCAGCAACATCCCGCCCACCGTAAAACTAGCCCGGAGTTAAACCTAAGACATCCAAAACTGCTAATTTTGATACTGGACGCTTAAGAATGCCAGTGGTTGTTTCAACTTCTGCTAATCTAATATGGCCATCTTTAGCTGGAATAGTGTTGACTATGATACCTCTTTTCCAGCTTCCTCTAAGTTGGTTGTCCTCGCAAATGATGACCACATCTCCAATGGTGAATGCCTATTCGACATCTCTGATTTTATGTAATCCCTGTCAAATAAATCATTGTCTTGTTTTAATTCGTTATCAGCTTCTATGAAATTGGTTCCTATATCTGATCGTATTGTTACGGGAACTCCCCTTCTATTCACGAAGTTCCTTATACATAAAATACAGGCGTCTGCTGACAAATCAGCAACTAATTCCAGGTGCATGGCTCGGATTGTCAGACACGTAAAGACTGCAAATCATATTTTTTCTTGTCGTCTTCCGATGGTTACCATAACCGCTCCAACGTAGTCTAGTCCCACATAGGTGAAAGGCCGTTGATATGGTGTCACTCTCTCCTTGGGTAGTTGGCCCATTAAAGGAACGATTGGCTTGGCCCTATGATTTTTGCAATATTGGCAGGAAACTTTTGCTCGAACTACCGCTTTACGTAGATTTGTGATCCAGAATTTGCGCCTTATCTCGTATATGATGGTTTAGTCGTTTTGATGGTGATAGGATTCGTGTTACTATTTTACAATAAGTTCCGTGAAGCTATGTTGTGGCGGCAATATTATTGGTTGACGTTGTGTTTCTGGAATAGTGATAACATAATCCAATCCTCCCGCGACAACTAAAACTCCACACGCATTTAGTTTTGGAGACAGCATATAAATGGAACTACTCTTAGAAACTGATTCAGAGTTTTGTAATTCTGCAACCTTGTCTGTGTAAACTTGATTTTGTACCATTTTACACAATTTAGATTCACCCAGGACTAATTCAAATGCGGATAATTCTTCTCTTTCTCTTTGTTGAATCTCCTTCCGAAAATTAGTCACAAATCTCAAACACCATCCCATCATACGTTTCAGCCGTAAATAGTTTGAGAATTTACTGATTTCTATAAACTGGCTAGTTGTCACAGTCATTGTAACTTGTGACAGTGCCGTCATCTGTGGAAGAGCTCTACTCCATTGTGGGTCAGGTCTCCCTTTCAACAAGCAAAAACTTGGGACCACTCACCCATTCGCTTTCAACAGTGTACTTTAGGAAATGGCTAGACTTTGTGGCTTTGTCTGCTGTATTTAAATGTGTTGGCACCCATTGCCAGACATTTTCCGATGTTGATTCCAGTATTTCGTTACCCGATGGGCAACGAACTGCTAAAATTGTCGATGATCTGATCTAATCCAAGAAATGACAGTTCGCGAGTCTGACCATAGTGTCGTTTTACGCACATTCACGTTATGACTTTCTATAATGGTTCTTTTCAAACGTGTACCCAACACTGCTGCTTCTAACTCCAGTCTAGGAATTGAATACACTTTCACATCTGGTCTTTCCTGCAATAAAGACTAATTTCGTATCTTCACCACACGTTATGCGCCAATATACTACGGCTGCGAAGGCTTGTTCGCTCGCATCAACGAAAACATGCAACTCTATGTTATGTTAGCTATGTTAGCTTTTGTTGAAAAAAATTCTGGCGCATAGCATCTATCCGATTGAAAACGTTAAATTTTGAAAATACATTTTCCGGCAGTGGATCATTCCAATGTATTCCAGCCTTCCAAATTTCTTGGATCAATTTCTTTCCGTGTATCATTAAGTCCGCTAACATTCCAAATGGATACAGACATGACTAGACTTAGTAGTTGGCGCTTAGTAGGGCACTTCAACAATTTCGTTGTCTAAACGGTTTAGCTTGAGGTCGAATACAAACTTGTCGGACTTACTATCAAAATACATGCCTAAAATCTTGTCTGTTGATTCGTTACTCATTTGGACGGTCTGTGCCAGCAAGTCGTTCTTCTTTGTGTCATTAAGCAATTCCTGAATGCGTTTGGAATTAGATGCGAAGCCTCTGAGTTCAAGTTTCCCCATCGTATGTACTCTCTTGACTTCCTGACTGATTCGAAAGGCTTTCTCTTCTGATTAAAAACTAGCAACGAAGTCAGATACATAATGTTTCGTCTGGATGGCATCGATTACTTCTTTCCTGTATCTTTCAGCGTTTTTGCGTTGATATTCTTAATGTATTGGGCACAACAAGGAGAGCATGCTGCACCAAATATAAGGACGGTCATCTTGTAAGTATTCACTTGTGTATTACGATTGCCATGTCTCCAAAGGAATCTTAATGAATCATTGTCCTCTCTTCGTACTTGTACTTGCAAAAACATTTCCTTTATATCGGCGCATACTGCAAATTTTCTCTTGGCGAAATTTGAAAAGAATCGGAGCCAACATTGGGTTTTAATCAGGTCCATTTAAAAGCATGGTATTAAGGGAAACACAATTGATCGTTGCGGCTGCATCGAAAACCAATCTCATTTTCTTGGGCTTGATTATGTCAACAACGCCGAAGTGCGGTAAATACCAGGTCCTTGGTTTAATTAGAACGTCTTCTTAATCTGACATTTTGACAGCGTATCCTTTTTTAACGAAATCCATAATGGCTTTGTCATATTCGTCCATTTTTCCCAATCCGTGCATTTTGCAACCTCTGAAGGGCTATCCGGGAATTGAACCACCTCCTGCTTCCAAAGGAGTCCAGTCTCGTAACATCCTTCTAGTTGTCTAGTTTTGTTCTTTTAAATATCCCTTTCTCTAGATTCCAATGGTTTAACGGTTATTTTTACTAAAAAGTTCTCCGTTTGAAAGTAATCTGTTATTATCTTGTGGATTTCTTGTTCTGAATTGTCTTATTTTGGACATGAACGATTACTGACAATTGCGTTGACCCAATGCTTTGGCCTCCCTTCGAGCCATACACAAGCCAGCCCAACGGCTTTTTAGCTGCAGTTAGATTTTTATCTAAATAAACACTTTTGATGCTGGCTATCAATTGAAAAATATTTATTCCAATCAAAATCATAGGATTATCATCTGTATATCCGTTAAATGGTTAATTCTTTATCCGTGTGTATTTAGCAAGTTTCTCAACATCTATTGACTGTAAGGGAAGACCTAATTAAGGTACTGTGTATACAGTTATTCGCAGCCATTTCTTATCAGCTCCAGGTGCTCTAATGCGAAGGTCGCATTTCATTGATAAAAACTCCTTAGCGTGATTTTCGATCCAATTCAAAGTCAACTTTCTCTTTGGCTCCTGTACGCCCATCATATCTGCTAACATCTTGTTTATCAGTGAGGCAGATGAGCCTTCGTCTAAAAATGCGTGAACTATCTTTTTGTTCGGTCCCATAATTTCCACAGCCAAAACGTTGAACAACAATTTGGTAGTGTTTGGCTTAATTGTATTTATTGTAGCCTTCTGCGGCTCAAATTTCTCTTCCCTTTTAGCATTTTATGGGGCACCATAAGGTCCTACACCAGCTCGGCGAGCACATTCTGAACTACATCATGAAGAATGAGCAAGCCACAATGGGAAACGTGGATCCTATCCTGATCATTGGAGTAGGAATAGCCTTCTACTGATCCATCGGCATCATACTCTACTGCAGATCTCTACTGAGGAAGAGAAGGAATTTGGTCCAGGTCAAAGCGATGATAGATAACTTGAGAGGTTCGAGAGCGACCACTCTTGAAGAGAGGGAGTAGGTAGCACTCCCTTCCAGCGGCAAAGTATCAGCAGAATTTTTCTTTGGACCTTCCTTCCTCGCGGACACATCCGCCGGCAGCTTCTGCAAGGGTTGCTGACGTGGTGACAGCGCTGCTCGAGCTCGGAGGGCCCGTCCGCGGCATTTCCATTTATAATTCATATATTGTATTATAGTTGTACACTCATACTGACCCAGAAATAAAATATCTGAACATTAAGTTTGTCTCTCATTCCGTTGGCCGTTCACTTCTCACACCAACACGGCCTTTTTGCTCGACACCCTCCCCCAGAGATACACTTGTATCAGTGTGATATCACAGCAGTCTGGAGGCAAAATTCAGTGGCTCCACCTCTTATAGCCTCAGATATCCAGGAGCTCATCAAGACAGACGGACAGACACACATGGCTATATCGTGAAAACTTTTTTGGAATTGCTTGGTGGTGTCCTTCAGGACATTAAAATGAAAGGGATTTCAAAGGGTTCAATTAAAGCTCGCAAGCTCGTCTGATGCAATTATGTAATAGTTTAACGTTTACTTTTTTGTAGTATTAAGAAATAAGACTTAAAAAAATAAAGATTGCCTGTTGATATTTTGCTTGCGATACATACATTTGCATGTTTATATAGTAATTTTTATATCATACCTTGGAAAATGTATTGCGGTAGGTACATGATATTTGAATTCGATAAAACGAATTGCTCAACCATGGTTAGTTTACTGAACGTGTCTTCAAGCAATTGTGAGCTGAAGTTATTGTAGCTGAAGTCAACAAAGGCGAGTAATCCCATTACAGGGTCATGAGCTGTCACATTCCTTACACATTCGAGTCCTACTCGTATTACAAGGTGCTCAATTTGAAATTTTACACTATCCAGAAAACTTGGGTATATACATTGTACTGGTTCTTCTCGCTGCACAATATAAATTCCCTTTAAATCTTCAGAAATATTCATAAAAATTCCATTAGTAATGTCTTTTAACCGAAGATCCTCAAGAATAATTTTATTGAAGATACCTTCACCAAAAGCACCATTCTCAATGGCAGTAACATTTGAGATAGCTATATAGATATTTTTGACTTTATCACCCAAAGTTGATAAGAATCCGATTCCCACAGTTGCATTAATAAATTCATAGTTGTATAGACGGAGCTCGTCAATAACATCACATGATTCTGACTGTAGAAATACCAAACAATTTTTAGTATTTAGTAAATTTTACCGAAATTTGTACTACTCACATGATTAGAGTTAGATATTGCGTACTGAATATCGCTGACGATTTCTTTTTGTCGGCCGTTAAAGCAGGTGTAGCTACATTGAACCTTCAAGCAATGTTGTGGTAATTTTTTAAAGGAAGCTCCTAAATATTCACTGTCACATAAAGAAAAATAAGAAGATGTTTGGATAGTTTACTTATTTTTAGTTCCCTTTAGATTCTAAAATGTAGAATCTAAATACATATATGTAAAGACCTTTTTTTAAACAGAACAGAACACAGGCGTCCGTCCTGATGAGCGCCTAGTACTCGGAGACCATAAGTGCTACAGACACCATATTTTGCATCCAGACTCCTGTGTTATCACACTGTTACAAGTGTATTTACAAATTTGGGCTTATTGGGCATAAATTCTGTTGGCCGTCCGGGCCATCTTCGGCCATTATTATACTACTAGCCTACTTTTAAGATATTTGTATACCCATTCGACAACCGACATTCCACACTCCCTGCCAAAATTCCACTTAGAGCTTAAAAACTCCCAAGGGTGTTCTTCGTTTTTAGAGTTCGTTGCTCATTGTTTAACCTTGTCCTTACTCCTGCCATTACAAACGTCGGGGTGAGTTTTGCATTTTCATTTCGCCTATGTTGCTTCTGCATGGTTTTTGGAGCCGTTTTCGAATGAGGTCGAATGAATCTCGTCTATACAATGCAATTGAACAATCCTTCAATACTGCTCAGTTCCGTAACAACTGATAAGCAGAGCCTCTCATGATCATATTCTTACCAAACGATTTAAGATAAGATTTAGATATGGGTCTTATAAATGGTGTGATGATAATTTTTTTTTATGAAAAAAATTTTTTTTAAGAATTTTTTAAATTCTGTTGTTGTTTTTAAACTTTTTTGAGAGGTGTCGGTTTGTTTTTATTCCCGGTACTCGAAGAGTAAATAGGGTCTATTGTATTTGTGGGGAATAACGGTTGTATGTAACGCACAGAAAGAAGCGTTTCCGACCCCATAAAGTATAATATTCTTGATCAGCATCAATAGCCGAGTCGATAGAGCCATGTCTGTCTGTC